TGCGGCCTTTGGGGCTCTCGTGTGTGAATTGCCGCGTGTTGCGGAGCTCGGGCAGTCGCGCGCTATCGCAGGGGCTAAGTCGGAGCCCTCAGATGACGAGCTGTTTTGAGCTCCGCCTTCATGGCCGTCCGCCACCTCTTCCTCCTCCTCCTCCTCCTCCTCCTCCTCCTTCCCCTCCTCCTCCTCTTCCTCCTCCTCCTCCTCCTGCTCCTGCTCCTGCTCCTGCTTCTGCTCCTGCTCCTGCTCCTCCTCCTCCTCCTCTTCCTCCTCCCTCCTATTATTCCTCCTCCTCCTCCTCCTCCTCTTCCTCCTCCTCCTCCTCCTCCGCTCCTCCTCTTCCTCCTCCTCCTCTTCTCCTCCTCCATCTCCTCCTCCTCCTCCTCCCTCCTCCTCTGGCTCCTCCTCCTCCTCCTGCTCCTGCTCCTGCTCCTGCTCCTGCTCCTGCTCCTGCTCCTGCTTCTGCTCCTGCTCCTGCTCCTCCTCCTCCTCCTCTTCCTCCTCCTCCTCCTCCTCCTCCTCCTCCTCATCATCATCATCATCATCATCATCCCCCTCTGGCTCTCCCTCCTCCTCCCCCTTCTCCTCCTTCTCCTCGGCGCAAGCTTCACACACCGCTCTGCGACTGTCCTGCTCTGCACCCGACGGGCCGCCCAAAGACGTGGCGGGGGAGCGCCTCGTGAGGACCGCTCCAATATGCAGTCTCTGCACGTGCGCAGGTCCAGCATTGGGGAAAAGTCCAGACCACCTTGAGCGCATACAGTCAACAAGTACAGTAAGGATGCGCGGTAAGAATGCAAGGGCCTTGGACGCCCATCTCGAAGCTTTGTCGAGCGGAGCGCGGCCAGCGAAAGTGGCCAAGGATGGACCGAGGAGGCAAGGATGCAAGGGTACCCTTGGGAAGGTTGCCCGTCCTTACTATGCGGGTTGACTGTACACCCACTCAGCCAGTGAACTTCGCGAAGATCCCAGAAGGTTCCCACCCTCTCAGATGGACGCTTCAGCATCCCCCAACATGAGGCGGATATCCAGAATGGAGGCTGAAGCATTCTCTCGGTCGCTCCTACTTCTCTGGGGTAACCTTTGCAGGGAGTCCCGATTTGCAAGATACGTCATCAAGTATCTTGTCCCTCGGCCGAACAACGATGCTTCTTGGAAATGGTTCACACCGTCTGGGGTGACCCAACGAAGATCGAACAACTTCCTCCCCCTGATACGAACTGATGTGGGATTGGCATCAGGGTGCTCTGCCCGAGACCTCGGATGCTCGACCCATCTGACCCCGTTTGCTGCCCAGGGACGCGCAGCTGCGCGAGGGAAGAGTGACTCTAGTTACAGACGGCGCGCGTAGTCGAAACAGTGGCATGGGGTGTAAGGACCCTCCCTCGAACGGCCATAAATTCCTCCATCTCCTGAGAGAGTTACACGCCAGTCGGAAAACATAGACAGAAACATGAAGTAGGAAGGCGGATACAGTAGATTGGGTTCGGGCCCGCCCAAATAATAACACACAACAGCCCAACCATATCGATTCTTGAGATTGGAAGGCGCTTGAGATAGATGGGTTTGTGGAACACAGAAATACAGACTTTCAACAACCAGCGTGTAATGAAGTGACGGAAGCATCCAGGCGGTTGAGGTATTCGCACGCGGGTTCCATGCCAGAAAGCAACTGAGGGGCAACTCGGAGCTTGCGACTTGACTCCTTATTCACGGCACTGGCTGTGCCAGTAAGCACGCGATATGATCCTGCCAGCTCGCACATCACTGCACTCCTCACTCCTCCACGGCTCACTGCGATGGATAATACCAAACTGATCCGAGGATATGGCAACGCGCTACAAACCGATGGACTCCGAGAACCCATGAGGCAGCAGAAGAACACCATTTATCCCCCGAACAGTGCTTGCACTCAGGGGGTTCTGCTTAGCCACCTCGCGAGCACCTCGCTCGCGGACACGCGCTTCAGGATTTTTTCGTCCAGTGACCGCCCGTGGGCGCCCCGTGGGCACCGCATCGCTCACACCGCATAGCTTGCGCCACAGAACTCACACCACACACACTCCACCGCACAACTTGCACCGCATAACTTGCACCACACGGCTTGCACCGCTCAACTTGCACGGCGTACCTGGCACCGCACGGACTGCAAAATATAGCTTGCACCACGTAGCTTGCGTAACTTGCACGTCCACGGTGCATTACTTCACTGTTTTGGGTCCACGTGGGTAAACATACAATCTCGCTGGTCATGGTAGCGTCCAGTGACGCAGAGGTTCGGAATTCAGTGATCTCTAGCGCGGGTAATCGGAACACGGATTGCAAACGAGCCAGGACAAGTCAATACTTTCGAGCATGTATACGGTACGTAGGTTCTCATGGGGCCCGACCACAAAGAAAAAACATTAGATGATAGCCGTCTGGCCACAGCAGAGCGTGCCAATCCCCGGCGCAATGGATTGGGCTAACCTGTAGATGCTCGTCAATTGGGTTGGACTTGGAACACCTACAAAACCGGGACAACCTGGGACAACGCAGCGCATCTTTTCTGTAAGACCGAGAGCAACAACGCTTCTGAAAGGCGCGGTCGCGTCTACTTGTCTGCTCCCTTCCAATTGCGATGCATTCCTCACTGTCACTGGTCTTGCAGCGGATGCAGAAAACACACAGGTGAATTAAATACGCAGAAGTAAACGGGGATTTGGTCCTCCCAGTTCAGCCCCCTCAAGACTCAGGAAGCGATATCTAATCTAACATGTAAATACCAGACGGATCTTGCGATGCCACGTCGCAAATGGCCAAACCACCCCGAGGCTCGCCGCCAGCTGCAGCCATGTACAAAATACACGCCGACGTGCATCAGCGTGCGTCGCCGACGCTGCTCTGACGAGGGTCCCCAGGCTGCTCGGGAGTCTGACAGGCAAACATAGGGCGGGTTCCTGAAACCCTGAACCCCGAGGAGGAGGAGGAGGAGGAGGAGGAGGAGGCAGGAGGAGAAGGAGGCACAACTGTTGCCATCTCGAGGAATCCATGTGTTTACTTTCGCCGACCTGCTGGCGGCGGAGACGGGAGCCGCCCTCGTTGTACTCCCGCCAGCCTTCCGCCGCCTCCCTCCTCCTCCTCCTCCTCCTCCTCCTCCTCCTCCTCCTCCTCCTCCTCCTTCGACCCTCGAAGGCGAGGCCCTGCCTGGAACGCCTCACACGAGGAGCCGTGCCCAAGAGATCAACGCTGGTGTCCTCCCCCTGCCGCCTGCTTCGCGGCGGCCGCGCGGATCTCTCAAGCCGAGGCTGGCATGGCAGCGTCTGCTTGCGGGCGCGTGTGGGCTGGCGGCGTCGAAGGCCCGCAGAAGGCGAGGCATCTTCACGGATCGTCTCCCGCGGGGATGAATCCAGAGGTCCAAAGCACTCAAAGTGGAGAGTTCACCTTTCAGGTAGACAGTTTTGAACCCTCGCCTGAAAGCACAGTCTCGATTTTGAAGGTTTTTGGGGCTCTCCGGGAGTGGAGCGACAGTCGGGAGACAGAGAGAGAGAGATAGAGGGCGAGAGATAAACAGAGAGAGAGAGAGAGAGAAAGAAAGAAAGAAAGAAAGAAAGAGAGAGAGAGGGAGGGTGAAAAAGAGAGAGAGAGAGAGAGAGAGGGAGGGAGAGAGGCAGAGACAGAAAGACTGAGAGAATGGGGGCAAGGAGCAAGGCGCGGGATAGGGATAGTGGAAGGAGGGAGGGGAAGGGGGGAGAGGAAGGGAAAGAGTGAAGGGAAGACAGGTGGATAGGAAAGCAGGGATGGCACCTGCGACTGAAGGAAACAATTGGGAAGGGGAGGCGGGCGGAGGTTGAGTAAAAGGACGAACGGAAGTGTCAACAAGGTGAGGTGGGGCCCCCGCCAATCCCAACTTTCGCCGTAAAAAAATGTTCAGCGGAAGAGGGCCCTCTGGTTCCGGATTGCTAACAGCCTGGGTTTACGGGAATTCCGCTTGACAAACTCATGGGAACTCGCACCCTGAAGCCCGTGAGGCCCGCTGTAGCAGACGCTGCCACGCATGCTCTACCCGCTGCGCCAGGCGCGCGACAGCCTGCGTACCTTTGAGCAGCGAGGTACCGGCGTCGGAGGCGGTGCGGGCGCGAAGTGCTCGGCACAAGCTGGCGTCCCCAACCACCCGAGCAATGCACTGCAAACTGCAATGCCCGCCCTGTGTCTGCAGGCGTCAGCGCTTCACGCTGAGTGAGGTGGCAGCATGCGGGCAAGACGTGTGTCCATACCCGCTGCGTCTTGGAGTCTCGGGCTCCCTTCCCCAGAAGACCGAGTCGCAGTGGACATGCGGAAAAATCTGGCCCCTTTTTGGGGCTAGATTTGTGTCCATATCCACTGCGCCTCGGCCTTGTGGCGCCCCTTCCCAAGAAGAGTCCAAGACGCAGTGGATATATGGATAGAAATCCCGCCCGCACAGCAAGCTGGTGCCCCCGCGATGCAGACATGCAGGCGCGAGCCAAAGCAAACCGTCGGAGAGTGTCGATGTATACCTGCCGCTCGAAAGGCTCGACGAACACCACATGTAGGCATGGAACTCCGGCTACGACTTCCAAACATGCCACGAATACCGCGTGTTCAACATCGTGCGCTCCTTCGCTGCGCCCGGCAAGCTCCACGTGCGCCCCAACAGCTCACATTGACCTTGCGGTCTTTATCCCTACCATGCGGCCCCCATGTCCTTCTCCCCGAATGCCTTTGCTCTCCGACGCCCCTCCGGAGTCGAGATCCCGAGAGCACGCAGGCGCTTTGAGTTCTGGGAAGTGGCTTTACATTGGCAAACACATCAACACGTGCCGAATACAATGCGACCAGATCATGAGGATGCGCGGTAAACATGCAAGACACTTGCACTCCGACGTTGAAGTCGAAATTGGAAACACATGGCCAACGCCTACGGGCTAGGATGGGCCGAGAGGCAATGATGCAAGGGCGCCCTTGGAAAACATCGCATGATTATGATCCTGTCTGACTGAACCCTACGTGGACGCTTGCATTCCCGCTGGCGAGCATGACAACCATGCGCACGTCGCTGCGCTGTTTTGGCGAACCTGAGCCCCGACAGCATCACCACTTGTCCTTCCGCGCTCGGACGAAGGGTCCTGCGAAGGAGGACTGCAACCGAATGCTTGCACATTCGTCTGGAATATCACCAGCTGACCAACGTGTGCTAAAGAGGCTTTCGCAAATGTGCAAGAGTGAGCCCCTCATTGGAATACCGTTTGGTGCGTGTGGTGCGCGGGGTGCTAGTGACCCGAAGACGACGCGGAAACGGTCTGCCAGAAAAATCGACGACGCGCAAGCGGCCACGAGTGCGGTATGCCGCCAAAAGAAGCTCAGTGCACGAGCTCGGCTACGACAGCCAGCTTCGCATAGCGTTTGGCATCTCAATGGCGGAGATCCTTGACACGCTGCTGCGCCACCTTCGCATCTTCCTCCTCCTTCTTCTTACGTTGCGCGGACTGTAGGTACGAGCCTGTAGCGTTCTGAACAAGAATGAAGCTTTGCAGAGCAGACGTAGGCGAACTGCGCAACACATGCTACGGGGCAAGCGTAAGGACGAAAAGGGCATTGGCATGAAAGACAGACAAGGCAAATAAACCCATGGCTCGGAGTAGACGCTCGCCACGCAACACCTGAAAGAGAAGACACCGACATCCGAAGTAACGGCTCACCTAAATATCCGAGGAAGCTGCACGATGGAGGGAGCGAGATGCACGTACACCAGTAAGGCGGCCTGCCTCGCGGTGTGATCGTGGCAAAAAAGAAAAGCAGGCAGCCATATAACGAAGGATCGCGCTGCAAAGTCTGGTGGTCACACCCAACCCCCTCCCCATAATTATACCCGTCCCCACCACTATCAGTACGGGCAGAAAGCGACGAAGCATCACATAAGCAAACAGCACAACAATGGCTGACCCTAGATGCTGACTAGTAGTTCTCCTGTTTCCCATTGTCTACGGGCTGGCGCACGTGAGCGGCTGGCCAAGAGTGCTGCTGGCGCAGGTCTGGTATGCAGGGCTGCCGGGCTGAGGTGGGGGGATGCGTGCGCCTGGAAGGAATGACAGAGTCAGGTGTAATAGGAGCGCGGGCAGGCAGAAGCTGCGAGGTACGGCGGCCCACAGTAGGGCAGAAGCCCGTCCGCCGAAGGCCCAAGTGGCCAGATGCCAACTCCCCGCCTCCACTCGCTCTCATGATCACGCGATTCTCGCAAGTATACAAAAAAGCAAACAAAGCGGCAACGTGAACTCAACATGCACAATGCATGTTTGATAGGCTGACTCGATGTCGCGGTGGCTGGCCTAAGCTGTATGAAAAGAGTGGAAGCTGCCCGGCGCAACGCACCGTTGTGCAATGGCTGGTGTGACCATTCTGGTGGCTCGCGAAAAACGGAGGTGCCCTCGGGCACCCAGCGGCGGCAAGCGAAGGGGTATAACTGGCGAGAGTCAGTACGCAAGAGGGGGGAGGAAGGATGGGGAGAGACATGAGGGCAGTTCTACGTGCTCAGGCGCGCGCCCTAGGCCTAAATGCCCTCACACTTTTCCCTGGGCACGCTGTTGCATGGTTCGCTATGGACGGTTGCTTCGGTGGCGGTGGGGCGGTGTTGGGAGCCTCAAGGTGCCGTGGCATGACTGCTGCTGCATGCTTCCCTGCTGATGCTACCTGCCCCCCCCTCCATGGCGGTCTTCGGCCAAGTGTGAATCACCTGGCTTCCTGCTCACACAAAAGGCCCTAGCATCTCGCACTTTTTGCCTCGCTCGACCCTGGAACTGCTTGGCCGCCGAGCAGGGCGGCGGCAAGGGCTTGCGGCATTACGCTTTGGGGTCCAAGGGTGCTGCAGGACTTCCCCACGGAAGGGCGGTGGTGCGAACGGCTACCACCATCGAGCAGCCCATCACAAGGCTACCCCTTGCCCCCATCCGTCGTCCCAAATCCCGACTTTCCTTCGCCGGAAGCCCCTGCGCCGCTAACCATTGGTCACGCCTGCAGCACCGCGCGCCTTCCGAGGTCGGCGGTCTGCTGCACTAGCGTTTCTGCTGCATTGCGGGCCCGGGCACCCACTTCTGCAGCAGTGATCTCAGTGTACACGCGCGCTGTTCGCGCGTGCTGCCAATGCCCCACCGCCATGGCTCGGTCGAGGGATCCCGCGAGCAACCACAACCATGTAGCACCACCTCTCCAGAGCCCCGTAGGGCGTGACTGTGTCCCCGCTGATGCCGAAGAACTGCGCCAACAATCCCACCAGCCCTCTGGGCGTCGGTGGTTTAGAGCGTTTCCTCTTCCACCCCTCCTTCTTCCCCTTCGGGGAGGGGTTTACCCCTCCCCCATACCCCCTCCCCACTGACCTGGACAGGGGGTTCCGCGGCGCGTTGGAGCGCCCAAGATGGCCCAAGACGGCTCCAAGAGGGCCTCAGGGAGCTCAAGATGACCTCCAAGATGGCTCAAGATAGCGCAAGATGCCTCAAGATGGTCCCCATGATCTTCCAAGACGCTCCAAGAACCCCCCAAGACGGTTCCAAGTGCCCACAAGAGCATCATTAGGATGCATCCAAGAGGCCAAAATGCTTCAAAACCCTATGGAAAATCAATGTTTTTGGTGTTCTCACTTTTTCGCTTGCGATGCACATCCGAGGCGTCAAGATGGCTCCAAGATGGCTCAAAATAGCTCCAAGAGGGGCCCAAGAGAGCCTCAGGATGGCTCCAAGAGCGGCCACGAGCGCTCCAAAAGCGATCCAAGAGGGGTCCAGGAAGCGATTTTTGGAGCTCCTGGGGGGGGGGGCTGTAATTAGGGAACCCCACTTCCTTGATCGATTTCCTCCACGATGGCCGCAAGAGGCCCCCAGGATGCCCCAAGAGGCCGCAGGATGGCCCCAAGATGGCCCCAAGAGGCCCCCCAAGAGGCTCCCAGGAGGCCCCCAAGAGGCCCCAAGAGACCCTTTTGGCACCATTTTGGCCTCCTGAGGGGGCAAAGATGGCCCCAAGAAGCGCCCAGGAGGCCCCCAAAGGCCCTAAGATGGCCCCAAGAGGCCCCAAGAGGCCCCCAGGAGGCCCCAAAGAGGATCCCGAACGGCCCACAGAGGCCCCCCCGAGGCACCCAAGACGCCGAAAAGCCTCTCAGGACGACCCTCTACTCGCCTGGGCGTCGTTTCTGGACGGGCTGGTGGGGATACGCGAAGCGTCTAGAATTTGAACTCATGTTCGAAAATTTCTCGGTGGTTCGGCGAGGAGAAATTGGGTGCGAGACCGGCCTGCAGACGCCGCCCGCAAGGCTTTGATGGCCACTGCGTCGTGGATGATGACGTGCTCGACGTTACCGCCTTTTCTTTTGGCTGTTTGGTGTCGTACAACATAATGATACCCTGCGGCCATCTGGGCTGAAGCGCAATCGTCCTGCTCTGAGTCCCACTATTCCGGCTGTCCCCAACAAGCAAAAGAAGCCCGCAAGGAGGAACGCGGCAAGGTCAAGTCGTTGTATGGCCGCGCCAACCATTGCTCCCAGGATGGCCCGGGGGAGCGGGAAAGGTCTCTTGCGGTGTAGGACTGACCCGAAAATTGCAGATACAGCTCGCTGTCGGCATGGCCGCGCGGGCTCCCGGGTAGAAGCGTGACAACCCGCATATGGTGTCGCTAGCGTATCCGCGCGAAACACCTTCCTGCCACATGTGGTTATGCACACAGCAAAAGTAAAACCGAGTTCAAAAAACGATTGCGGAATGCGTATATTGTATGTCCGAAGGTATTAGAAGCGGCAATCGTGTTTCCGCGTATCGTTCTCTTGTCTTTGCTGTGACGCCTACTTCCCTGAGGTGTCGCTTTATCCCTGGTCGGGGCTTCGGACGGCTAGCTCCCCCCATCGCCTGCATGCAGGCGGCTCGCGGCGTCCGCGAACTGCCATTCCGACGTGGTCCAAATACCGAAGGACCAGGCACCCATTGCGAGTTCCATAGCCATGAGCTTCCGCCGCGGCTGGAGCTGCGGCCTCTCGCGACCACTGCCGCGGCCACGTGGCCATCAAAGACGTTATGAATCGCAGCGAGCGGTAAGAACGAGAGCGAGGCTTCTTTCGGGCATAAGTCAAATACGCAATTAATTCAAACGCGTTGATACGTTGCTTCGCTTTCCACCGGCACGACGCGACTACCTGCCATTTCCAAGCAAATGCCTGGCAGGGCACAGCTCTCCGCAAGTCGGCGACCCGGCTGGTGGACGTCCACGCATGTCTGCCCTCAGTGCCCGCACAGGACAGCATGGACCGGAGGTGGGCTTCCTCCCTTCCAGGGGCCCTGTTCTGCAAGAGTCGCGCGATCTCCTGGGTCAATGGGGCAGAAGCGCCCTGGGTGCCTCCCCGGCGGGCGCGTGCCAGCTGGGTTTCGACCCGCCCTGGCTGGCCCGAAGGCGCTGTCGGAACGCGCTGCTGCCTGAACTCGCGCAATGCTCTGGCCGCGGCGGGGGAGTTTGCTGCGCAGAACTGTTCCTGCGCGCAGGGGCGCCCTGCTGGGCGACCGTCCCTCCCGCCGAAAACGTTTGCTCAAGCAGGAAGCAGTTGTGTGGCAAGCGCAGATCCCTGTCGCCCGCGGCGGGCGCGACGCCCGCCACTGTGACCCTGGTGCATAATGCCCCCCCCCCCCCCCCCCGCATCGAGCAGGGCGGCTGTGGGCAGGGTGTGATCGCCCCCCCCCGCGGCTTGCGCATATAGGAATTAATCGGCGTAGCAATCGATATGAAACGCAAAACGGTGGGGCCAGGACCTGACCCTTTGGGGTGCTCGTCAATCCCCATTGCGCCGTCGACGACTGGCCAGCCCGCGGGATCGCGGAACGCGAGCTCGTCGGAACTTCAGCGAAAATTAATCGGGCAGCCCATTCTTTTGCGATGTTGCACCATGCCATCGCGCGCGCGTGCTCGGGGGCTCCTGCAGCCAGGCAGGCGCGAACTGGGGTCGCGCACGTCGCCCAGCAACTCTCCATCGAGGAACGCCACCGCAAGAGCCGATGCAGCGTCGCCGCGCTCCGGCCAAACAGGGGGAACTTTTTCGGCAAGCCCCCTTCGGACCGCCGCAGCAGGGCGAAGAGGTCGCGCTCGACGGCCGCCACGCACGGCA